GATCTCGCAGGCACCTGGATGAGTTAATTGAGGGTTGCTGGGAGCAAGGCCTGCGAGAGGTCCTCCGGGTTGGCCAAGAGAGACGAGGGCGCTTAGAGTCCACGTGGAAGATAAAAGTGCGCGTGAGTAACCGTATTTGGGCGAAGAGCTATGGTGGTTTCGAGCTCATTTCCTGCGCAAGTGGTGCCTGTGCCTCGAAGGGGCGGGGGGCTTGGGTGCTGAGCGTAGGGCCCCAGCTGGAAGCAGGAAGAAGCATCCGTGGGAGGAAGAGCGCCCACGGAGTCCTCAAGGCAGAGAAGCAGCGGGGCTAAAGCAGGGCGAATCTGTGGGCGAGGTGAGACCCCTCAACCTGAAAGGGCTGGGGCTGAGGCTTGGAGGTCTTCACTGCAGCTGGAGAGATGTGTGTCCCGTTTGCTTGTCAGTGGCGAGTCACTCGAGGCAGAGGAGTAACATGAGGAAGTTATGTTTCAGGAAGAGGAACTCAGCAGAGCACGTGGGATGGAGAAGAAGGGGAGGCCACAGGAGGGACACTTCTTAGAAGCTTGGGCCCAGGCTCTGAAGAAGGAAGGGTGGCCCGAGCTGGGGAGGCAGGGGCAAGAGGAAGGCAGGTCGCTGGAGAGAGCTTTGGGCTTACAGTGGACAGCTCACTATCCAAAGTGTGGTCCCGAGACCATGGCACCAGCATCACCTGGGACTTGTTAGACATGCAGGCCCCCGGGCCCCAGCTCAGGCCCCTGGGCACCCAGGCCTGCACTTGGCTGGGAGCCCTGGTGTCTGCTTCCCCGGCCGGTCAGCAGCACTGGCTGCTGGAACCTGACAGCTTCGTGCAGGTCAGAGGGAAGGGAAGAGCGGCCAAGAGCCTGTCCGATCGCAAGGGGCTGGAGGGAGAGTCTGAGTCAGTTTGCTCTGAGGCTGAGGCGCCCAGACTGCTGCCCAGCTCGGGGCTGCGGCCACAGGCAGAGGGGAACTTAGGGAGCCAGTCTGTATCTCGACTCCAAATCATTGTGGGGCGGAGCCACTTACTCACACTGTGCGCAGATTTTCTCTATAAAATTGAGAAACGACAATACTGCCCAGATTTTATAAGAAAAAGTTCAAACTAATTCATCAAATAGTTGACAACAATGACGATAGTGATGATGATAGCAGCATATACCTCCATTTATTGAATGATTGCGCTTTTCCAGATAAAGTGCTAAATAATTTGCCAACTAGGCAAATCGATGGTAATATGCCTACCCCAAATCGCCCTTACTTGTTATAGATTTTGCCCCCTTTGTATATAACTTACCTACTTATTATCTGTCTCCCCAACGGACTCGCCTCAGGTTTTCTCAGTGCCTAACAAACAGCTTTACGACGACCTGTTTGCTGTTGTTGTTTTTTAATGAATGAAACTCCAGTTCAGTGAGAGCAGCTATCTGCATGTGCTTCAAACATCGCGAGGTTGTGGTGTGTATTACATTGCACTTGTTTATGTATCTGCCTCGTAGAGAAGGAGACACGTTAAGTTCTTCTCCCGATCCCTGCGTTGAACCCAGTGTCAGGAATCTAGTAAGGGCTCAACAGGCTTGGATGAGTGAATACATTTGTACTAAACGGTTCTTAAAATGTGATAATAAACTCCTAAAGTTAGTCAAAGGGACCTCAGAATCCTCAGACTTGAAACTAACCAAAGAATGTTGTGGCACAAGCAAATATATTCTTATTTGGCCAAGGAAGAAAGGATGTCATAACAGAAGGGTCATGGCCTCTACAAAGTTCTAGGGAAATTAACCAGAAAAATGAGATTTTGACAGTGTCATTCCACACTGTACAGGGAACAGGCTGTTCTTCTGCTAAAAACAGACGCTTCTTCTGGTTATACCAGCCTCACGCGCACTGTAGCAACTTCCAGCCGGTAATCTGGCTTCCTGAGCACATGTGATCCCCCTCCGCCAGGGGAATATTCTGAACCAGTAACCGACCAGTAGCTGCTAAAATAACCCGGGAGAGGGGGAGGAAGCTCAGATCCTAGGTCTACACAGGTCAAGTCTGAACCCTTGCAATTCACTCAGCCTCCGTGAGCCTTGGCTTCGTCCTCTGTAAAGCAAGAAGGGAGCTAACCCCTCAAGGTTCTGAACGTTAAAAAAAACCAAATGGTTTGCATACAGCCCCTGACCCAGTTCTGGAACCCGCACAATAATGCCATTGCTCCTTGTCCATCCCCTGCTCTGCCCATTCCCTTCCCCGCCCTCCCCGCCCCCCCGCCCCCCCCTCCCCCCGCCAGACATGCCCATCATGTTAGCAGGACAGGACTATTCTGCATCCTTGCGTGTGCATGCAGGCCCTTGGGGACCACCCCAAAGTACTGTTTTCCTGTGGCCTCGGCAGCCGTCCACCTTCTCTTCTTAATTACCATTATTTGTAGTTTCCTGATCGGCCAGCAATTCGCCCCGCTGGCTGTGAGGACAGGGTTCTTTCTACCTAACCGGAACCGGCCAGCCTGTTTCCAAACCCTCCTCCGAATCGTTCATCAGTCTAGGCACTTAGAGCTCAGGTCCGCCGGACCCCTGCCCTGCGGCGCTCCTCTAAGCAGAACTGCCATCACAGAGATGCAGAGGCAGAACCTGCGGACTGGCCCGGGAGCTCTGGGGCCGTCCTTCCCTTTGGTAAAGCATCCCGACTTCCAAACATCATGGATGATAAAATAAAACTCACGGCCTCGAGGCCACATCCTTCCCTTTCCCCTGCCCTCCAGCCTCCCTTCACACTGCTTTGCTCGCATGTCTCGGCCTGAGGGGAGCAGGGGAGCAGTTCTGGGAAGTTTGGTGATAAGGTTCCTGGCTTCCCAAGGCCAGGTGCCTCTCCTCCCGCTTCCTCACGTCCACCCCGCCCCGGGCTACACGCTTCTCCGGAGGGACTGACCGTACATGGTCATGTGGGGACGCGGCCGGCATGCCAAGAGCTACAAACCGACAGAGCGTGTGCATCAGCCTGACAGCTTCCATGGCCGCGTCCACATGGAATCCCAAACAGCCCCGCTGCTTCCTCCCCAGCCACGGCCGCCGCCGGCCTCCTGGCCTTGTTTAAACAAGACGAGAGCCGGCTGTTTGGGCGGTGACCTTTCCCGGGTGCGGGGAGCAGGTCAGCAAATCACCGCTGACTGAGCCCGAGCTGCTCTCCTGCTTCGAGGACTTCCTGGCGTCCGGACCCTGGGGACCGGAGGAACTTCTCATCTCGGGGCCGCTAAAGGTGAGATCAGGCCAAGAGGAGTGCCACTAGATGGTCTATGCACAGTGACAGACACAGGCAGCCTGACTGTGTGCCAGGCACACACTGAGCGCTTCGTGGAAACGCACAGTGAGGAGGACTTACTGAGTGGTGGCTGTTATTATCAACGAGTGGCCTGGTGCACGAATTCGTGCACAATGAAAGGAAATTAATTAGAAGAAATATTTTAATATCACTATTCGCCCTTTCTCTATAACAGAAGTGTCAACAAAATTCACAATCTACAACGACACATGGAAACACACGCATGCGATTGGCACCAGTGAGAGCTTTATATGTATTGAACATGCGCAAGTCAACCTAGCCTTTTACAGATATAGCATAAATTTGCTTTATTAGACCTGCTTTCTGATGTAGCTAAACTTTCTCCAGCCCAGTGAAGCACACCAACTTCTCTTTCAGGTAATTGTCAGCAACACAGCAGTAAATATCAGCACGAAGCAGATTATTATTATAGATCACGCAGGGAGAACAAAGGGTAAAATATTTAACTGCAGCAGTGTTTGACTATATTCTGCACAGGGAGAAAACCTGAAGTCATTTTCAAGGTCTTCCATTTCTTCTTTCCAGTCAGGTCAAGTTTCTAAGCTTTCTAAATCTCCATTTTCCGGCTAATGAAAAGAAAATAGGATTACACCAAGTCTTCTATCTACCTACTCCAGGACTTCTGTGAGGATCAAATGAGATGAGGCATGGGAAAACGCTTCACAGACATTTGGTTACAGTGTCAAATGTTTGCACTTGGCTATAGAGCAAGTCGTGTTCCTGGGCTGAAGAAACTCCAAGGAGGCTAGTTGCTAGGGAGAGGAAGCCGGGCATTGCTATGTGACATCACTACCCGGATGGACACTTAGCATATTAGCCTTTTATATATATAGATGATCTTAGAGGTCAACCTACGAGGAGGTATTACATCACTTTTTTCTTCCTGTCTCTTGTCTTTTGGCACCTGAGGAAACGACACTCAGAGTTCAACAACGTATTCAAGGCTTCATCACTCTCAAGTCAGGAAGACGGTGCAAAGCTGGGCCAGTTTGCTGCAGAGGCTGTGCTGCGGGCTCCATTCCATGTCACCTCCTACCATGGTCCCAGGAGGTGACCACAGGTACAGCCCCGCCCTCACGGGGCCTGCAGTGTGGGGGCAATGAATGACCTTAAGGGTCCTTCTAGCATAAGTGGCTGTGAATTCAAGTTGAGGGTCGCAGGGAGAGGGGAGCTAGCCCTAGCTGAGCAGTCTGCCCCTTTCCTGTGCGAGATGGGGCTGTGCAGGCAGGAGATGGCATTCCAGGGGGAGCGGGTTCCAGGGGGAGCGGGTTCCAGGGGGAGGAGGTCCCAGGGAGAGCGGGTTCCAGGGGGAGGGGGTTCCAGGGGGAGGAGGTCCCAGGGGGAGGGGATCCCAGGGAGAGCGGGTTTCAAGGGGAGGGGGTCCCAGGGGGAGGAGGTCCCAGGGGGAGGAGGTCCCAGGGGGAGCGGGTTCCAGGGGGAGTGAGTGAGGATCCAGCCTTTCTCACAGGCTCAGGGAACAAAGAGGGAGGACGACTAGGGTGGAAGATGGGTGGGGAAGTGAATGCCTGTTCTGATGCTGACGGAGGGAAACCAGGCTGCCAAGCTCAGCAAAGGAGGTGGGACTGGAGAAACCTTCCCAGAGAATCTGAGCTGAAATGCTGTCAAACTCTGGACATCTGCCACCATAGTTGCTCTTCCCACTCCTGCACGGCCTCCCCTAGTGCATGGAGAGGTGCACATGCTGCCTTCACAGGGCAGGCTGGGGGGTGGGGGGGGGCGCACAGATCTGGCCAGGGTGGTGCTGTGCCCTCCCCCCCCCCACCACTTGCAAAAGCTGGGCCAGGGCATTCCAGCTGCAGCCAGACAGCACCAGGCCACACCCACTGGGCTCTCCCCCCACACACCCGATTCAACTGGCTTCACTCTGCGGCTTTTCTCTGAAAGCCCTCCTTCCCCCAGGCTTGGACACAACTGCAGCTGGTGGGCTGGTTCCTTTGGAACGAGACAGGGCTGTTCTCAGGAGTCTGAGAGCCATTTCTATTGCCCTGCAGCGCCCAGGGAGGGGCAGGGTGCTGTGCCTGCCTAAGAGCCCCCTTCCCAACGCCATCCTTTTCCTGTCAAAAGTCACCTCTTCCAAGAAGCCCTCTGAGATTGGGTCCAGCAGCACTTCCTTCTAATCCTGCCCCTCTCCCTGGGACTGAGGTACTGCCAGTTGTGTGCTCTTCTGCAACTCCTGAGGTTAGTGCGGTCTCGGGTTCTCCTTGGGGTTTGCCTTCTCTGTTCTGCATGTTCCATTGGATTTGGAGTCCTTTAGGAACAAAGCCCTCAGAGCCCTCAGCCCACAGTTTTGCAGCCTCCCTGGCGGCTTTACAGGCCCTCTGCTGCCTCCCCTCACCCAAGCCTCCAGCTTGGGGCTGTGTGAGGGGCAGTGGGGAATCCCTGGCCCAGCGCCTGGATGGGAAGGAGCCCTACAGGAGGGGAGGGCACAGCAGAGGGCCCGAAGGACCGTGTTAGTGTTTGCAATCTGATCTGGAAATGAGCTGCCAGGCCAACTGAGGGAGAGCCTGCACACGGGCGCCTGGAGGCAGCTGGCTCAGAAGGCGGGAGGAGGTGGAGGAGGGAGAGGTTTTACTCTGGCTCGGCCTCCAGCCCTCGCAGGGGCGCCCGCAGCCTCACATCTGTTTCTGTGAACCTCAGCGCTGAGTGTGGTGGAGCCAGAGCCCCGCTGGGCGCTGGGAGCCACTGGCCCTGCTTAACACAGTCTCCTTTGTCCGCAGGGCGGTAGGCTCACGTTGCACATCTGGCCTGGCAGTGGCTGACTGGAGCCTGCGGGGCCTGAGCGGAGCCACAGAGGCTCTGCGGGAAAGGGCGCTTCCCGCCGGGGCCTCGGACCACACGCTGCAGCCACGTCTCCGAAGTCACCGCGTCCACCTTCCAGGCTCCGAGGACAATGGCCAGCCCATCCCCACGGGAGGCTTTTCCCGGTTCTGAGGCGCCTGCCCCATCACTCCTCTGCCCCAGCGACGGCAGCCTGGGAAGCTGTCCTTTGCGTGAACCTAAGTCTGGTTTGCTGCGCACGAAGCCCACCTTTTCTTGCTGCTTTTAAGAACGAAGGTCAGTCCACCGCCATCGTACACATGCTGCCCACTGGCATCAGACGCCGGCTGCTTCCACGGCCCCAGCCCAGTCCCCGGTTTCTTTATTCTCATCACTGAGCAGCTCCTCTGCCAGGCACCAGCATGCCGAGGCCAATGGGTCTCAAACTTCATCCTCAAATTTGTATAATCTTCTATGGAGAGGGGTTGGCACATAAATATATTTATTGAAACAAATTCTGGTATTTGCTAAAACAGAGCTCTGGGCAAAGCCTTTGGAAGCAGAGCCAACAGGACCAATGGGCACCGCTTCACAGAGGGGCCCATGTCTGAGCTTGGACTTAGAGGCTAAGTAAGCCCTTCCCAGGGAGAAAGGAGGGAAAGGGGGTTCTGAGCAGAACGAAGACCAGGCGTGAAGAGCAGATCGGAGAGCCTGGCCCACGTGGGGAGCAACAGAGCACACGGAGGAGCCTGAGCCCACCTTCCAGTCAGAGGCCACAGGCAGCCACCCTGTGCTGACGCAGGGAGTTCACTGGCTCCGCTCAGTCACAGAAGGGAACCCGGGAGCCAACGGGGGGGGGGGGGGGGCAGGTAGGGGGGGCGGGAGCGGGGAGGGGTGGGGAGGCTGTGGTACTAGTCCAAGCAAAAGAGAAAGCCATTGAAGTGGCACTTAGCTAAGCAATCTTTAATATTTAACAACTAAAAGTTATACATCGCTATTATACAAAACTTGGAAAATAGAGATTAAAATATTGAAAATAACAAACACTTGTAAAATTTCCTTCTAGTCCTTTTTGTATGCACATACTAGTATATTATGTATATGCATAAATAATATATATTAGAGATTTTACTATATACATAGTTCTGTAGTATTTGTATTATTTTTAATATCATGAGCATTTGTCCAAGTCATAGAAGTTCTTTGTTATCTGTTTTGCTAACAGCATTATATTGAGCTGTATGGAGTCACAAATCACAATTCACTTATCTCAGGACATTTCGCTTGTGCCGGTGTTTTTATTGCAGTAAACTGTCCGTAAAGTTTTGCATGTTCTCTTTGATTCTCTCTTTAGCATAGATCCCTAACAATGGAATTAATGGTCCAAGGTTATAAATATTTTTTAAATTCCTGAAGCAGACTTTTAAAAAGTTCTTTACAAAGGTTTGTGCTGCCCGGCCGGTGTTGTGCCATGCTCCAAGAGGTTAACGGTTCTATTCCAGGTTGGGGCACATGCCCGGGGTTGCGGGCTCGACCCCCAGTAGGGGGCGTGCGGGAGGCAGCCAACCCATGTTTCTCATGGATGCTTCCATCTCTCCCTCTCTTCCTCTCTCTCTAAAAAATCAGTTTTTTAAAACGTTTTTTTAAAGGTCTGTGCTGTTTGCACGCCACCAATAATGGCTGAGCATTCCCCGGAGGGGCGGGGGGGCGGGTATGGTGACGCCTGGCAGCGTGCCTGCGGGCCACACCCTGCTCCCTCGGCGGCAGACCAGGAGCCTCACTCTCCTCTGTCATGTGCTCACAGTCAGCACCTCCCCCAGGACTTGCCCAGAATAACGACGAGTAAGAGCAGGTAGGCTTTTCTTGAATGTCTTGGAAAGAACTCGTTTCCGGGACGGGATAGGAGGGTAGGTCATCCCAGAGTGAGCCAAGCGTCACTCCTGCTGGGCAGGTCGGGCTGGCATTAGTCAGAGTTGGAGCAGCTGTCGCGACCCAGGGCTGCCTTTCCTGTGGCGGGAGCCACTGCATCGCCGGGTTTTCTGGGAGGCTCCCTGGTCCTGTCCTATGATCCCTAAGGCATCCTATACTTGTCAGGCCAAACAATTGCTTAAGTCACAAAGCACAGTCTCACAGAAATGTATTCACGGGCACGCGCAGCTGTGGGCTGACAGACCTGTTGGTACATGCCGGATGGAAGGAAGTGGGTGCCTGGCAACCACTGGGGGTGAGGGCACAGGGCCTGCTCATTCCAGACACTCTAGTGCATGAGGCCCCCTCCTGTGTGGCCAGGGAGAGGGCTACCATCCTCCCGCTCCTGGTGGCCCTGGCAGAGTGCCCGCAGGCCACACCCTGCTCCCGTGGCAGCAGACCGGGAGCTTCAGCTCCTCATCATTTGCTCACAGTCAACAGCTTTGCAATAAGATACATATCAGGTCGCGACTTGGGCCAATTCCTGGATCGCTAAGAGCCTGACCTTTCTCCTCTGTAAAATGGGAGTTAGTGTCCTCACAGCACAGGTAAGGAAACTGAGGCTCAGCAATAAGTGACTTATCTAAGGTTCTATAGCAGACAGGAAATGGAGCTATCCAGAGACCCCATCCCCAGCAGATTTTTAAAATTACAGCCCTCTGGATTTATTCTTGGGATGCAAGGTTGAGTCAATATCTGCAAATCAATTAACACCACATTAATAGAACGAAGGAAAAAAATCATCTGAATATATCAATAGATGCCGAAAACACATTTGACAAAATCCACCATCCATTTATGATAAAAACTCGCAGCGAAGTGGAAATAGAGGGAACAAATCTCACCAGAATAAAGGCCACATATGACAAACCCACAGCTAACTTCAAACTCCATGAGGAAAAGCTAAAAGCATTTACCTTAAGACCAGGAATAAGACAGAAATATCCACCTTCACCACTTTTATTTAACGTAGTAGTGGGAGTCCTACCCAAAGCAATCAGACAAGAAGAAGAAACACAAGTCATTCAATTGGAAAGGAAGAAGTAAAACTGTCGTGACTTGCAGATGACAGGACACTGACTACACAGAGAACCCTAAACATCCAACCAACAAACTACTGGAACCGATAGGTGGACTCAGTAAAGCTGCAGGATAAAAAATTAATACAGTATTCAGAAATGACTGCATTTTTATACAATAACAAACTAGCAGAAAGAGAAATTTTTAAAAAAATTCTACCTGGGGTGATAAACACAAAATACAATATATCTGAAACCTGTATAATTTTATTAACCAATGTCACCCCGATAAATTCAACTAAATAAAAATAAAAAACAATCCATTTACAACTGCATAAAAATACCTAGGAGCCCTGGCCAGTGTGGCCCAGCTGGCTGAGCTTTGTGCCACGCACGGCTCCTTTCCCGGTCAGGGCACATGCCCAGGTGTGGGCTCGATCCCCAGCAGGGGGTATGCAGGAGACAGCCAGTCAATGTTTCTCTTTCACACTGCTGTTTCTCTCTCTCTCTTCCCTTCTCCTTCCCTCTCTCTCTAAAATCAATAAAAACATATTTTTAAAATTCTATGAATGAATTTAACCAAGGAGATAAAAGACCTATACTTAGAAAATTATAAGACACCAAAGAAAGAAATAGAAGAAGATACAAATAACTATCTTTTGTGCTCATGGGTAGGAATTATTTTCATTATTAAAATGTTTATACCACTCAAAGAAATCTACAAATTCAATTCAATCCCTATCAAATCAACAATGCCGTTTTTTATAGAACTACAACAAATAACCCGAAAATTTGTACAGAACCACAAAAGCCACAGCGATCTTGAGAAAGAAGAACAAAGTTGGAGGTATCATGCTATCCGATATCAACCTATACTACAAGGTTGGTGTAAAAACAGATAAAGATCAATGGAACAGAATAGAGAGCTCAGAAATAAACCACACCTGCATGATTAATTCTTCTATGACAAAGGAAGCAAGAATATACAATGGGATAAAGACAGTCTCTTCAATAAATGGTGGTGGTAAAACTGGACAGATACATACAAAAAATGAAACCATACCACCTTCTAACACCATATACAAGAATAAACTAAAAAATGAATTAAAGATGTAAATATAAGATTCAAAACCATAAAATTCCTAGAAGAAAGTAGAAATAGTATATTCTCTTGGCAATTTTTTTTAATGTTATACCTCCTCAGGCAAGGGAAACAAGCAAACAAAATAAACAAATGGGACTACATCAAACTAAAAAGTTTTGCACAGCAATGGAAACCACCAACAAAACAAAAAGAGAACCTACTGAATGGGAGAACATATTCACCAATAATATATTGAATAAGGGATTAATAACCAAAATTTATAAAGAACTCATACAACTCAACACCACAAAACCAAACAATCCAATTAAAAAATGGACAGAGGACCTAATAGACCTTTCTGCAAAGAGGATATAGAGATGACAAAAAGATCTATGAAAATATGCTCCCTGTCACTGATCATCAGAGCAATGCAAATGAAACCACAGTGAGATATCACCTCACACCTGTCAGAATGGCTATCAGCAATAAGTCAACAATCAACCAGTGTTGACAAGGATGTGGAGAAAAGGGAACCCGTATGCATTGTGGGTAGGACTGCGAATCGGTGCAGCTATATGGAGAGAAGCGTCAGGACGGCTGTCATCCTTCTGAACCAGGAATTCCACTCTGGGTAGTTATCTGAAGAAATGCAAAACGCTAATTGGAAGATATATGCATCCTTTTGTTGTTTTTTAAAAATATATTTTTATTGATTTCAGAGAGGAAGGGAGAGGGAGAGAGAAGATAGAAACTTCAATGATGAGAGAGAATCATTGATCGGCTACCTCCAGCATGCCTGCCCCACTCTGGGGATTAAGCCTGCAACACTGGCTTGTGCCCTCACTGGAAATGGAAACATGACCTCCTGGTTCATAGGTCGACCCTCAACCACTGAGCCACACCAGTCAGGCTGCATCCCTTTGTTAACTGAAGCATTATTTATAATATCCAAGACATAGAAGCAACCAAAATGCCCATAAGTACAATAGTGGATAAAGAAGATGTGGCACATATACACAATGGAATATGGCAGCCTTTAAAAGAATGAAATCTTACCATTTGCAACAACATGTTTAGACCTAGAGGGTATTATGCTCAGCCAAATAAGTCAAACAGAGAATCAAAAGCCATATGATTTCACTTATATTTGGAGCCTAAAGAACAAAATAAATAAACAAATAAAACTGAGATAGCCCAGCTGGCGTGGCTCAGTGGTTGAGCATCAACTTATGAATCAGGAGGTCACAGTTTGATTCCTGGTCAGAGCACATGCCTCAGGTTGTGGGCTTGATCCCCAGTTGGGGGGCATGCAGGGGGCATTCTCTCTCATCACTGATGTTTTTATATCTCTCTCTCCAGCTCCTTTCTTTTCTGAAATCAATTAAAACAAACAAAAAACTGAGACAGACTCAGACATACAGAAAACAGACTAACAGTTGTCAGA